CCATCTGACACGTTATTTAAGGATTGACAATTGACAGTGTGGTTTCCTCATCTGTTTCAGTGATAAGCAGAATCTGAATCTTTGCAAATGCGCACTCTTCAATGAACTGCAACTTCCAGGACTGGGTCCATGAGTTCATGTTGCTTGCATTTGTTTGCTCCTTTTAACCCAACTTGCTCTGAGACCGGTGCAAAGCCCCAGTACAAAAGCCTGACAGGACAAGTATTGATGACTGGCCTAGACTTAGCAATGACTAGCGCTTTATGTTGACACCAGTGCTAAGTCTACGAACAAAGCGTAAAGACAAACGATATTGCCTGAAGGAAGCTTGCTTCCTTGCTGCTTTGCAGTATGACCTTGGTGGGGAAAAATCGCGAGAAGCTTGAAAGGGGGTAGCTATCAGCCATCAAACGAAAGATACAAAAGTGCTTTTGTTTCTTCCGACGACTGCATTGCAATTGCTATGCCTCACTTACTTCCACAGAATTCTGGACTGAGCGGCAACGTAGGCCCTTCTGCCCTGGTGCAGCAGACATGCGCATCAAGCACCAAACTACTGAATCTACACAAATGAATGTATGTCAGTTTCCCTAAAAATCTAGGAACAAATCATTAGTGCGAGCGCATCTTCAAGGAAGCTCAGGCGGGGGGAGCTTCGTTGAAGAAGCGTGAGCTATCCTGCGTCCTGTTCCTAGGAGCGAACTTGCTCCTAGTAGTAAGGCCAGGAGCCCCTAGTAGCGTTCTTGTTACTACTAGTAAGGCACTTGTTACTAGAAGCGATGCACTTGTTACTAGTAGCGAACTAGCTCCCCTTACTTGATGAAGTAGGCGCCTACTTAATTGACTAGGAGCGGCCTTAAACTGTTCTATGATGTTCTAGGTGTCACGCTGTAACAGAGCACGAAACGGTTTGAGTCTGTAACCTGCGTGGATTGTCGTGGATTGCTTGGCTCCTGCGGCAAAGTTCGGCCGGATGAGATTCGTCGAAGCCATTGAGCGATTGGGAAGTCTCCTGGCCCACAGAGATCTCCAAAGGCCTTCTGCACTGTGTGCAGGTCAAATGCGCTTGGCAAGTTTCCTCGGGCAACGTTTTCACCCAAACACAAGAGTGTAACATGTTCACGGCATTTCTTGTCAGTCTCCTCGCCATCCTGGCGATCCTACTTGTAGCTTGCATTGATTCTGAGAAAAGCGCGTGCTTCTTGACGGTCAAGTCGGTTTGCCTTGTTGGCCTTGTCTGTTGGCCCAAAGCTTCCATCTCAAATACGAAGTGGAAGGCTGATGCTTCTGGACTACGTCTACGTGTAACCAAACATGCATCTTTGGCTGATCTTGGAATTGAACAAGGGCACCCTGTCCGTATCCACACAGGATAGGCCTTGGTCAACCGCATGCCGTAGCACCGACCGAGAACAAACTGGTACACGAAAAATATGTAATATATTGTAATATCGTGAAAGCTCATTCACGCTCACATTTTGTCCCCGTGCACACAACTCGTGACTTCACAGACCAGATCGGATAAGCCCCCTGCGCAGGCGATAGGTGGCGCCACCGTTTTCTGCCACAGCCTGCTAGAAGAAACAAGAAAGTCTGGCATAGGGCTATAGTTATAGTCTATAGTAGCCTTGTCCTCTTGATTCTCTCTTTGCAGAACTTGTAAACAATCTTCAACTTGGCAAGCAACACGTGCCAAAAACAAATCCTCTGGATTTGATAGATCCAGCATGTAGTCACTAGTCTGCTTGGGTGCCACCAATCTAGTGCTCGACATGACATGCTGAAAGGTGGTGCAAGGATGCATCCACATGTCACACATAATACTTTGACATGCCCCCCAAGTAGGCCACAACTAGAAAAGAGGCGGGCCCAGCGACACCGACACGTGTCTCATGCACATGCAGAGAAGAGTGCATAGGAAATTTGCATGTTAATGACCTATAATTAAATCATATAGGGGCCACACATTGACATTTACTAGTACATAATATTTACATATATTTATATACATATATACATATATTTATATACTCTCTCCTGCCTCCTCAGCATCAGCACCCTCTGTGACACCACCTTGTTGCACCAAAGATGCAACAAAGGCAGACCTGTCAGTAGACGCTAAGAAATTCCGTCACTTCCAGGATGTTCCATTGAACGCACTGCGACCACTGCTTAGACATGTCGGCGCCACGCGATTTGAGCTCGCAGGTGCTGGGTGGTTGCATCTAGAGCCTCCAAAGTGAAGTGAAGTCGTTAGAATTGAATGCAACATGAGAATTAATACCCCTGCGGCTTGCAGGTTGTCAAAATTACGGACTCCGCCTGCTATTCCTGGTTTTCTGTTTTCTAGGGGTGAAAACTATTGGCACAAATATCTTGAACTAGTCCGATGCACGGCTGTCGAGAATGACATCGCGTTTCCGCCAAAAGAAGCTTCAAGGTGCTGTTGCAAGTGTTGATTCTCACCTCCCTAAACATGCTTGAATTGCTTTGAGCATCGGAGACAAACATATTGTGGTCATAGGATGATGTCATAGTCTGTCTTGTTCAGCACTATGTGTCATAGGGGTGCACCTTTGTCTTGGATGCACCTCGGCGGCTTGCATGGACCTGCACCGGCTCACCCTTCGGCATTCTGGAGGACTTTGAGGCAAAAGGTGAAACCATGTGAAACCATCAGAAAGACCGAAAGACTCATAATAAAAGACTTTGAATGCCCTCAATTCAAATTAATATCCAGTGTACAAATGCTGGAGCTTGCTCCCAGTTGCTGCAGTCAACAAAAAACTGACTATACTGGCTGAACATTTTCAAAGGCCTGCAGTGCATGCTGCAAGGTCTCCGCAGTGATGCTCCGCAAGGCTGCGGCAAACGCCACATCCTGGACGAAACGTCGCATCCGGAAATGGAAACGTCCTGCACCTGCTAAGCAGCAACTATAGTTTTGCCACATCCGTCGATCAATTCAATCACGATCACCTATCAGCCACGAATCGTTCACACGGCGCATCACACCGGGGGAAAAGAGACTCCTCCTCATTCATCTCTAAGCAGCCATGGCTTTGTTATTTAAAAGCTCGGTGATGATTTTAATACACCGTCGTTTGAGCTTACTTACCAAACTGTCAGAGCAATTCTTCTAGGAGCACATACAACACAACTACCGTACATCTTGAAAAAACGCAGGATCACAGGAAGCCTCCTCTTGTGTTGTCAACACATGCCGTCACCAGCTTTCTTACCATCTTCAATCACACCATATACTTGAGCCGAGTTGGCTTCCTTGTGCCCTTCAAGCAGAGGGTGATGGGTGGTGCTTCATCCTCAACGTCTTTACAGACTCGCTGCTGTACGAAAGAAATTGCGATGCCAAGCATGGCTCCAAGACTCGTAAGCTCGCGTAAGCTGGTCGCAAAACACATTTGTTGCTTCCGCCTTGACAGCATTATATCTGCCGAAAACTGGCAGAGTGCAACCTGCGATTGCAGCTGTGCCAGGTTTCGAAAGGATGTGGCTGCTATGTTTTCCAAGGCTGAGATGACATCCATCTCCGCTCTTCCTGGGGTGTGTATGTGCAAGGTACCGCACTCTGAAAAATGTGAAAGGCTGAGTTTCCTAATTCTATTGATCATATTCTAATGTGGGAATCACATCAATGATGCATCCCAAGCTTGGTAGCTACTTGAGCTGCCTTTTTGCCCTCCTCTTCCTCCCAATAACCACTTCACAGCCTATAGGTCAACAAAAACAGGAAAAGGGAAGGTAAGTTTGCTGGAGGCTTGCCTTAAACGTTACTACGTGTTGCTCTCTTCCCATCGTACAAAATGCTCGTTAAGACACACCTCATTCAGCAACTTGTGTCATTTTTCACAGAAACCAACCCAGTCCTTCCCGCGAGTTGGACCAGGTGTTTCGTAGCAAATATGGCTCCAGAATCTCCAGCAGGTTGCTCATGGTTTGGAGATCCGATCTTGAAACATCATCAAGGCCGGCAAAAGCAAAGCACTGCAACCCTGTGTAGATTTGAAACCTTCGCTGTACATATGAATGCAAAGGCTCCAAACAAAGGCCTGTTGAGGTCTTCCTAAGGCCCGGAAGAGGAGACAATCAAATTTTGAAACCAAATTGAGGACACTCCACCAGAACATGGATTTGATTCCTTAGCCGGATGAAAAGTCTAAGAACTATGCCAAGTTCCAAGGAGCATGTTGGCCAGAATCCCGGGAGTGTCAATCTTGGTGTCTTTGGTTTCCAACGCTGCCAAGCGAATCTGTTGAATCCTAAGTGGTTTCATAGCTCATGGTGTTGATGTTTGGAGTGCGGCAACCTTCCACCTATGCCTTCGTGTATCCCAAACGTGGCTCTCTCCCTCTCTCTCTCTGGTCACACATTGAAATGGGGAGGGGCTTGGTGTGCTGCGGTCTTTCATCTAACATCTTCCAACCAAACCCAGCTTTGATCTCAGGAAAGCCTGACGGAGGCTGGCGAATGTTTGAGTGAAAACCTTCGAAGCAGTTGACCCGAGTCTCAAGCCCACAGGATTCTTTGATTGGCAGAACATGGAGGACCAATCGAGGTATACCTCTAACTTGCCTAACGCAGGAACCACACTACGAGCACACGCATCCCAGAACAAGTTAAGTCTGGTTTGACATCTTTAACATAGTTCAACATGTTTAACATGCAACATGCAAGGTGGAACACATTTCAGCCATTCAGCCAAGACATCAGTCTCTAATGGCACCCCAGCATCGTGGCTTCGCGAAAGAGCGCCCGTTGACGAGGAGTGCTCCAGAGTGTCAAACCATGCAATGTATGTGCCAGGCCCAACACCAAGGGTCCGCGATCCTCACGGCTGGAAGCAATCGACACCCATTTTTTTGTTGTGTGCGTGTGTGTTTCATGTTTATGTTGTTTTTCCAAACTCATGTTCTTTAGTAGTGAAGCCAACCATTGTGGTGTGGTGGTTTAAATATACCGAAGGATTTCCAATGGCTGCCTCATGAGGAGGCAAACCAAATCACTTGAACTTTGGTATGGATCCTTTGGCCATCTTTGGCCGGATATTCTTCTTCTGCCCTCTCCTCAAGCGGTGCTGTTCTGCTTGCCCCTTCAAGAAGTTGTGACCAGGCGGCGAAGTACTGCCTGTGTCAATCTGACGGCACAAAGGGTTAGGAGGTGGGTGGCCTCTGGAACTCTTGACGCAAAATTTCTGAATCCTACCACCACTAAGCTTTGCGTAAACAAGCCAACATTCTGCTCGATGACTCAGAGTCATGCTCTGCAAGGATCAAAATGTAGAAGCGGACAGTTTGTACAAACTACAGTAAGTGGTCTGTGATGGTCTGTGGTCATCTTGTAGATCGTTCTGCTTGCCCTTTCAAATCGATCCAAGAGCCTCTGAGTCATTGCCAAATCTCGAACTTCCAATTGCCCAGCAGCTCCGAGTTTGGCCAGTGAGATTGCCAAGATTCCTTGGCGTGACAAATCGCCTCTGAGATGGTTTATTCGATTGGACGCAAGCCATTCGTAGATGGGCCCCAGGAGCAGCGCCTCTCGAGCATGCGCTCGGGCACAGCCTCGCACGTAGGTCATATGCTGATTGGAGCATTCTAAGAGGTCATATATATCCTGATACTATAAGGTTTGACTTTTGCAGAGGTCATATGTGAAAGTCGTCTTTAATCAAACATGGGCGATTCTGGATCAAACAAAGCCGGCTATGCATGGTTAAATTTTCCCACTCCTAGGCTGGACAAGTAACCAGACAATGTATTCAAAAGCCAGCTTAAGAAAAACGTCTAACGCAAACCCTGTCACTGACACTCCCAAGATAATGTACAACCAGCCCCACACATGCACAATTGTCCTCGTACCCAATCCCTGATAGTTGTTGGGAAAGCTGATTCTTTAGAGTCAAGGCGGAGAAGCACTTCAGCACGACCACAATCGCGTGAGTCAAAGATGCATCTGAGCTGACTGCTGCCTCCAAATCTTCCATCAGAATTCTTGATGTTTCACGCATCATTGCTGACCATGCTGGCTCTGAGTACTCTTGATCAGCTACTTTGCTCAGAGTGCTAGCAACCGTCAAGAGCTCATGATGCGTGAGGCCGATCATCCTCTTGCCCGAAGTCAATTCTTGTATCAGCAAGTTCAAGACAGAGCTGTAAATGCTGTCCGTCACACCAAAGGCAACAGCATCTTCAACATACCTAGCATGCATCAAGCTCTGTCTCTCTGTCTCTATCTCTCTGTCTCTCACTCTCCTGGTCTGGCTTTGGCTGCGACTAGATTGAAAACATGGATTGATAAACATGAAACCAAAACGGAATCTACTGAACCACTTCTTGTGCCTATTTTTTCCGTGCCAAGGAGCATGGTCACTGCGAAGTTCACCGCGGAAACAAACTCTGAGATAGCAAAACTGCCATGATTCTCAATAAGGCGCCAAAGCAAGAGCGGTGTAAGTTCGGCTGTCTTATCAAACCTTTTTCGGGACAGGGCCCGCAGTAAATACGACATATCCAGCCCGGACAAAGGACGGCCTTGCATCACATGATCTGCGCAGTGGCCAACAATCTCTTCACACAAATGGTCAATCTCTTTGGAGTTCTCGGGTATCGATGTCAACACACCCAAAGCGACCTTATGGAGATGCAGGGAGGGTGCAGCAGCTTTGGTGAATGTGTTGGACGAAAGCCAATCAACTACAGCTACATACAACCAGAATCAACATGAACATATTGCGCATGCAAGGAATTGTATCTGAGTCTGTACATGATCGCACGACTCAAGACTTTGATTCTGTTTAAATATATATATCCGCCGACCCCGGCCTATAGCCAAAGCCTAGGCGGGGAGGCGCCTGGGACACCGCAGGGTGAAGCAGTTGGCCAAGCCTAGCAGAACCCTTCAAGCACTTCCAAAGGCGCAGGATGCAGCAGTTGGCCAAGCCTAGCAGAACCCTTCCAAGCACTTCCAAAGGCCTGTCCGAGGCCTCACCAGCTGGCCGGCCTGTTGCGGCCTCTCTGTGGCCTGTCCGAAGCCTGCCTCCTCTCTTCTTATGGGCTTCCGAAGGCGACGTTTAGGCATTTTGGACCACCTTCAAAAGCTTTTCGGCCTCTTGCGGCCTCTCTGTGGCCTGTCCGAAGCTTCTCGGCAGCCGGCAGGCCTCTTGCGGCCTCTCTGTGGCCTGTCCGAAGCCTGCCTCCTCTCTTCTTATGGGCTTCCGAAGGCAACGTGAGGCATTTTGGACCGGCTTCAAAAGCCTCTCGGCAGCCGGCAGGCCTCTTGCGGCCTCTCTGTGGCCTGTCCGAAGCCTG